ATAATTTTAAAACCTCCTGTCATAGTCTGTTTTGTGTTGCTGTAACAGAATAATTGAGGATGAGTAACTTATTTTAAGACAAAAAAAAAAAAAAAAAAAAAAAGAAGTTTATTTAGCTCAGTTTGGTGGACTGGGAAGTCCAAAATCAAGCATCCCATCTGGTGAGGGCCTTGTGCTGCTTCCGCTAATGGTGGAAAGCAGAACAAAGGGGAAATGAGTGTATACAAAGAGATGAAACACAAGAGGCAGCCTCACTTTACAATAACCTGCTCTCATGATAACTGAGACTGCATTAAACCCTTCATGACTGCATTAATCCCTCCATGATCCAAAGGCCTTTTAAAAGTCCTACCTCTTAGCACTATTACATTGGCAATTAACTTTGAGTGTGAGTTTTTTGGGGACAAACTACATACAAACCATATAGCACCTCCCAGAAAAAGAGAAGTCCAAGACCAGATGGCTTCACAGCTGAATTGTGACATATATTTAAAGAAAAATTAATACCAATCCTTCTTAAACCCTTCCAAAAATAGAAGTAGAGGTAATATTTCCAAACTCATTTTATGAGGCTAGCATCACTCTGATATTAAAGCCAGACAAAGCCTCCACAAGAAAACTAAACTACAGGCCAATATCTCTGGGTGAACATAGATGCAAAAATCCTCAATAAAATAATAGAAAACTGAATTCAACAACATATCAAAAAGACTATACACTGTGATCAGGTGGGGTTTATCCCTGGGATACAAGGGTGGCTTAAAATACCCAAATCAATCAATGCAAAATATCACATTAACAGAGTGAAAGATAAAAATCATATCATCATAGATGCAGAAAAATTATTTGACAAAGTTCAACATCCACTCAAGATAAAAACTCTCAACAAAATAGGTACAGAAGAAAATTACCTCAACACAAGAGGGCCATTTATTAATATCCCACAATTAACATAATAATCAATAGGGAAAAACTCAAAACTTTTCCTCTAAGATCTGGTGCAAGGCATAGATTACCACCATCTCCATTTCTATTCAACATAGCACTGGAAGTTCTAGCAAAAGCAATTAGACAAGAAAAAGAAATAAAAGGCATCCAACTTGGAAAAGAAGAAGCAAAACTGTTTGCACATGGCATGAGTCTATATGTAGAAACTGATAAAAACTCCGCCCAAAAATCTATTAAAATTAATAATTAAACAAAGCTGTAGGATATAAAATTAACATACAAAAGTCAGTTGTGTTTCTTTACACAAACAATCTACCTAAAAAGAAATTTTAAAAAATATCTACTACGATTGGTACAAAAATTTAAATACTTAGGAATAAATTTAACCAAGGAGGTAAAAGATTTGTACACTGAAAACTATAAAATGTTGATGAACGAAACTGAAAAAGACAAAGTAAATGAAAAGATTTCTGGATCAAAATAATTAATATTGTTAAAATGTCCATAATACTCAAAGCAATATACAGATTCAACACAATATCAAAATTCCAATATTTTCCACAGAAATAAAAACATTCTGAAATGTGCATAAAACCACAAAGGATCTTAAATATCCAAAGCAATCTTGGGAAAGAAAAACAAAGTTGGAGGCATCACACTACCTGACTTCAGAATATACTATACGAAGCTATACAATCAGAACAGCAGGGCACTGACATGAAAACAGACACATAGACCGATGGAACAATATAGAGAGCTCAGAAATAAATCTACACATTTACAGTCAACTGATTTTTGACAAGGGCGACAAAAATACACACTGGGCAAAGGACAGCCTCTTCAATAAATGGTGTTGGGAAAATTGGGAACCCATATACAAAATAATAAGATTACACCCTTATCTTGCACCTTACATAAAATTCAACTCAAAATAGGTTAAAGACACAAACAGAAGACCTGAAATTGTAAAAATCCTAGAAGAAAATATAAGGGAAACCTCCTTGACACTGGCCTTTGTAATGATTTCTTGGACAGGACACCAAAAGCTCAGGAAACAAAAGCGAAAGTAAACAAATGAGACTACATCAAACAAAATATCTGCACAGAGAAGAAAACAATGGGCAAAACGAAAAGGCAACTATTGGTTGGCAGAAAATATTTGTAAACGATGTATCCGATAAGGAGTTAATATCCAAAACATATAAGGTATGTCCAAAACATATTGGACAGCTCAATAGCAAGAAAACCAAATCTGATTAAAAAATAGGTAAAGAACCTGAACAGATATTTTCCCAAGGATGACATAAAAATGGCCAATAGAAAAAATGCTCAACATCTCTAATCATCACAGAAATGCAAATTAAACCCACAATGAGACATCATCTCTCACCTGTTAGAATCACCAATTTAAAAATATAAAAAAATAGCAAGTGTTGGCAATGCAGAGAAAAGGGAACCCTTTTACATTGTGGGTGGGAATGTAAATTAGTACAGCCTTTACGGAAAACAGCAGTATAGCTGTTCCTCAGAAAATTACAAATAGAACTACCACATGATCCAGCAGTACCTTTTCTGGGTATATACTGTGAAAGTAAAATACCTTGTGCCCCCAAAATCACAAAAGGAAAATTCAAGCTGGAAAGTGCTCAGGGCACATTTGCCTCCCATTCTATTCAAAGTCATCCCTCCGCTCACTGAGATAGATGCATACTCTGATTGCCTCCTTTGGAAAGGTTTATCATAAACTTAAAAGAATGCAACCATTTGTCTCTCCCCTACCTGCTACCTGGCAGCCCCCTCCCTGCTTCATCCCCGCCTTTCTGGAAGAAACCAATGTACTTCTTACATATATTGATTGATGTCTCATGTCTCCCTAAAACGTATAAAACTAAGCTGTGCCCCGACCACCTTGGGCACATGTAGTCAGAACTTCCTAAGGCTGTGTCACGGGGGTGTGTCCTCAACCTTGGCAAAATTAACTTTCTAAATTAACTGAGACCTGTCTCAAATTTTCACGGTTCACATCCCCAAAGGAAATGAAATCAGGATCTCCAAGCAATAACTGCATGCCCATGTTCATTGAAACATTATTCACAATAACTAAGATATGGAATCAACCTAAGTATGTGTCCACCAACGAATGGATAAAGCACATATGGTTTATACACACAATAGGATATTATTTATCCTTAATAAAGAAGATCCTGCTGTTTGCAACATGGATGAACCTGGATGTCATTATGCTAAGCGAAACAAGCCAGACACAGAAAGAAAAATACTGCATGATTTCATATGTGGATTATAAAAAAGTCAAATACATAGAAGCAGAGTAGAACAGTGGTTAACAGGGGTGGAGACCTGTGGAAATGGTTGAAATGTTGGTCAAAGGATACGAAGTTGCAATTCTGTAGGATGAATAAGTCTAGAGGCGTAATGCATAGCGTAACTATAGTTAATACTGCATTGTGCATTGGAAACTTGTGAAGAGTACATTTCATGTGCTCTCACCACTTACACAAAATAGTAACTGTGAAGATATGTATTATGTTAATTAGCTTGACTGTAGAAATCATTTCACCGTGTACATGTATCAAAACATCATGTTGTTCACCTTGAAGATAGAGTTTTTATTTTTAGAACACTGTTTGGGATTAAAAGACCAGCTAATTCTGCCTTAATCTCTCATTCTCATCCACAACGTCCACCCATAAGAAAGACGCCCGACACTCCGTGTAAACACACACTCCCCATCTCCAATACATATTTACCTTCTAGAGACAGCCCTTTTCCCCATCCTCTCCCCTTAAAACACTCTGAAGCACAAGGTCTTTAGCCTAGTAAGACACTTTCTGAAAAAACTAGTTTAACCCAGCGTTGAGCCCCAGTACCAGGCCTGCTTCAGTTGCTTTAGCCTAGAGAGTTTCAACTCTCAGGTCCCAGGGAGGGATGCTCCAAGGAAGAAATAGAGGCCCATTCCAGGGCTGTTTCTCGCTGACTAGCCGCAGAAAATAAAGCCCAGCACCACTTCCTTTCAGTAGCAACCCGTTTCCAACACGTTTGCTAAGCGGGAACGGAAGCGAGCGGAAAAACGGCTTTGGTAAATCCCACTTGAAGGATTTCGTAATCCTCCCAGGGATTCCCACCACCCGCACTCCACGCGCAGACGGCGGGCCTTCCTCCGACGCTGGGAGAAGGACCCTGGGAGAGGCAAAGGGAAGGGCCCCGGAACCAGCGCAGTAGCGGGACGCTAGCCCGCCCACACGGCGGCCACTGAAGGTCCTCCAGGGAACGCCTGAGGCAATGGGAGCGTCCGCCCTTTCCCAGGTTTCCTTGGAAAGAAGTATTCGCTTTCGTTTCCGCAAACAAAGCATGCTCTGCGCTTTCAGGATCGGTGGCTCCCGTGGAGTCCGCAGCTGAACCCAGTCCGCCTTCGCACGCGTCTGAGGGAGAAGCGGCCCCGGGACTCAGGGCGCGCGGCCGAGGAACTTGTGCTGTGACGACCAGAGCAAACACGCCGGATGTTCCTGTGTAGGCCGTGTAACCAGTGACCGGAAGTAGGGGCTGTGTGCTCCAGTGGCGCAATCGGTTAGCGCGCGGTACTTATAAGGCAGTATGTGTGCGAGTGATGCCGAGGTTGTGAGTTCGAGCCTCACCTGGAGCATTGTTTTCCAACCCAAGATAGCATCACTTGAAGTGCCTTTCCCCCTGTAATCCTACTCCACCGTCTTTAACGTGTTTGGAATTGTGTACACAGTTTATTGTTATTGGTTTCCTTAGCCCTTTTAGAACGAAGCAATGCCAATTACCAAAAAATCCGTTGCGGCGCAGTGAGTTATCTACCTTCTGTCTCCACTTTGTCCTGCATGTCGGTCTCAAGTAAAGAACATCATCTCTTTACATCCTTCTTTCCACTTTGCTGTTAGGATAATCGATCATCGTTCCTCGGGAAGCCCCTGGCACATACTTACTGGTAAGAAACTCCCATCAGGTGATAAGCATTGAACTCCATTTAAGGAAACTCAAAAGTGGGAAATAGTAAAAGTTTCCTGTCTGATTAAAGCTCTGATTGAGGGGAGGGGGAGGACTGATTTCTGACGACAGTGTCCCCTCCAGTATTTTCCCCCACTTGATTTTACCCTGATAAAATCAACAGTCATGGACGATCTAGCAGCTTTTATCAACTGAGAAACAGCACCTGGTGTCCTCAGGCATTCAACTACCTGGACTTGAAAAAGGATGAGTGATAATAGACCCAGAAGCCTGAAATCTTTAGAACACCATTACAAGGATAAGCATATTGTTGTGAGTTGGGTAGGACGTAGATAGGGATTTTGACTTTAAAATATGCTTCCCCTCCCTATGACACCTGCGGTTTGCCTGGATATAGCTTTTATCGTATACTTCCCAACTCTTCACCAAGAGAGGGAATTGAGTAATTTGGAGTTGTTTTCCTAGCTATAAAGATTGCCACAAACCTGAAAGCACATGTGTCCCACTTGGGACATGTCACAGAGGTGAGTGGAATTAAGCTAAGCACAGATAACTCTCTCTTGAGGTCTGTATTCCTAAATGGGTCTTCCATGTATCTGGACATTGTCCACTCACAGAGTATCTCCTGAGAAAGGTTAGGGAGATCCCATTCAGGAACGTACCAGATGATCATAAAGTGAACACTTTCTCACTTTGTAGCGCTTGGTAAGCCACTGGAGTACCTTAAAAGCTATCAAAGCATAATCTTCAAATATATATATAGTAACTAATCATCAAATATTTATTTAAGTCACTAATGAGGAAAGGAGGAGTATGGTAAACTGATTGCAATAACAATAGAAAAGGCTGGTAAATGTATAGTCAGTGGGGGAAAAATAATGCTCACATGAGATTGCAAGTTTGAGTAAAAAACTAGCTAATGTCCTATGGGGCAGTGAAAACTATGGCCTTTGGGATTTTTTTTTTTTTCTAAAAGACAGAAACTAGTTGCATCTTTACTGGGTAAAAATCATTCAAAACTTAATCTTCTACATAATGACATTTAACCTTGTAATCTATTTTCTAATCAATAGTAAATAGTGACCTCCAAAAGTTGCATTAACTCAGAGGATTACTTGCCCTTTCAGTGGGCTTGTTAGACAATGCTCTAGTATTATTTTGAAAGAGTACTAATATCTTTTTTTGCCTTATTTTTTTCTGAATAGATTTAGCACCTTAATTCAATTATTTTATCTCTGTTCCTGATCAATTGAGGGTATTATTGAGTATCTGCAGAGAGTGTTTAAAAAATGTTGACTTTTGCCATAAAGAATTTTTGTGAACTGGCTTAAGCCAATTTTGTGATAGACAACTTTTGTTGCTTTTGGTAGATGTCTGTCGGCAGTTTACTTTATAGTATAAAGTAAAGGATAGTCAGCTATAAGATACCAACAAGTTATAGTGATAGCAGATCTTCAACAAAATTTTGTACATATATAGTCACTTATTAGAAAGCAAGCAAAAAACAGTCATAAAACCTGTTCTCTAAGCTCAAAGAAGTTCCCATGGTTTTGTCATTTGTTTTTGTTGTTGTCATTGTTGTTTTACTAACTCCAAAACTACCTTTCATAAAAGCTTTGCTTGAGGCAAATGCAACAATATTTCAGAATCAGGATTCAGCCAAACATCTCTAAGAAGAAAACCTCTGGACACAGCAGGACACAGGAATACTGACAGCTCCAACCTAGGGCACCATCCCTCAAGTTAAAGGCTACAGAGCTCATTTAATTTTTATTCCCTTTGAATGGTATCTCTTAAATATTTAATTTATTTTGGGAACCATTAATTTACCCAGGGAGACTATATTTCTAACATTTGTTCCCTTCACCCCATGGGATCTTTGTTTCTAATATATTAATTAACTAATTAACAAGGACAAATTTCATCAAAGAAACCCAGTATCCAATATTCCATTATGCTAATTATGACAGCCTCTGGTGTTTATCAAAAATAAAGAAAACTGAAGTACTTTTAGCGGGCACTTCAGCAGTGTGATTTTGTTTATTATGTTAAATGACAATCCCCCAGACTGTGATACCAGGGCAAGGGACTGACCCTAGAATCATTTAAAATCATTTTAATATACACATTTGTATTATAGAGCGCAGTTGATTAAATCATTGCTGCTTCTGTATATCCACAACCTTTTTGTGGGTGGAGTGTTTGTCTTCACTTGTGGTAGATTGGATTCCTGAAAATGACTGAAATAGTATCCCTCAGTCCCTTCTGCAATGTGACCTTGGCACCTCCCCAGCTACAAGTAGAGCCTATTTCCCTTCACCTTGAATTTGGTTTGGGTTTGTAACTAATTTGAGCAATGGAATGCAGCAAAAATAACATTTTGTGATTTCTCAGCCCAGGCATTAAGAAAACATTTTTACCCTTAAGGAGAAGCCAGCTCCCATGTAAGAAGTTCAAATGCCTAGAGACTGTGATGGTGTGCAGAGGCTCAAGCTAACCACATGGAAAGACATGGAGAGATATTCCTTGCCAACCCTCAACTATTCCAACTATTCTAAGACATCAAACCTGTGAGTGAAAAAGCCATCTCATACCTTACAACTCTAGCAGACGCCACATAGTGCAGAGATAAGCTATCTCTGTCATTCTCTGTCAAAATTGTAAAATCATAAGCAAATAGATAATCATGGTTGCTTCAAGTTACTACATTTGAGTGTAGTGTTTTAAGCCACTGCATTTGAGATGGTTTGTTATACAGCAATAGATAACTGAAAAACAAAGTCCCTTGACTTAGACTTGGCCACTCAACTTCCTTGGCCAATGGAATGGGGTAGAAGTGATGGTGTGCTTATTCCCAGCCTAGGCCTTAAAAGGCTTTGCCTATTTCCACTTGCCTTCTTGTACCTCTGCTATTGTCACAAGAAAAACAAACCCCAGATCACACACTGGTCTGAAGAGGAGGATGAGAGACAAAGAGAAAAATTTTCTGGCTGCCTCTGCTGCCTACAGATTGAAGAAGATCCATCCAGCTGAGCCCAGCCTAGACCAGCTGACTTCTCCAGTAAGCCTGTATGAAATAAATGCTTATTGTTATGTGACCTTGAGCTTTGAAGATAGTTTGTTATGGAGTAATTGTTGATTCTTTCACCCTGTTTTTGTTAAACTATTACATCTTAATAGGAGTTCACAATTCAGTTATTCAGGCATGATCACAAAGTCATTAGGAATAGAACAGAGAATATGAAAAGCATCTGTTTTAGTTCATTTTGTGCTGCTATAGCAAAATACCTAAGACTGGGAAGTTTATAATGAACAGAAATTTATTGGCTCATGGTCTTGGAAGCAGGGAAGTTCAAAATCAAGGGACTAGCATCTGGCAAGAGACTTCTTGTTGCCTCACCTTATGGCAGAAGGTCAAAGAGTGGGTGGGGGTGGGGGGCAGGGGAGAGGACAAGAAGGGGCAGAACTCTTCATTTTATAAGAAACTCAGTCCCAAGATAATGGCATTAATCCACTCATGAGGGTAGAACCCTCATAATTTAAACACTTTTTGAAGATCCCACTTTCCAATACTGCCCCACTGGGGATCAAGTTTCCAACACACCAATATCACTTTATTTTCTCATCAATATTTACCCTACCCTTTCTGAGGAATAAAAGGGAAGCAAGCAAATTTCATGTCCTTTGCAAAACTGTGGTCTGTAACCTCAAAGCCTATGGGTAACCTTAGACCTAATAATTTCCTCATCCACCCAGGACTGTTTTTGCATAATTTCCCCTTTCTCCTTAATAGCCTCCATGATAATGCTTCATTCTTAGCAGATAATCTTACCTTTTGCTTCACAAAGAATCTAGACTCTCCTCTGATTTACATCATTTCCCTCTTCTTTACATACATTTATAATTCATCAGCATCAGTTACGCTTTATTGCTTGCCTGATTTTTTTAGAGATGTCTCTCTGTTCTTTAAAGACTAAACTCTTCATCTGCACCTCCAAATGCCAACTCCCCATGATGACTTAACCTTTAAAATATGTATAAACACACAGTCTGTCATCTTTAAATGGACATATACACTCACACTCTGCATGATCCAAAGATCTACATGACTACTCTCAAGAGACTGCTCTTTTTTACTCCTTCCCCTCAACATGTACTTCCAGAAAGAGAAACCTAGATGAATACCTTTCCTTTCCTTCCAGTCTTCAACCCACCGCAATCTGGCATCCACCTACTATTTTACCAAACTGCTTTGTTAAGGCTACTGAGATGACATCCTCACCAAGACAGTTTTAGACTTTTTTCTAACTTGTACTCAACAATATTTGATGGTTGACTAATCTTTTGTAGGCAAGGTTTTACTCCTTGGTATCTCCAACTCTCCAGTTCTTTCAGCTCTCCCCTTTCCTTCGTAAATATGAGTTTTCCCCCAAGATTCAGTCATTGGTCTGCTTTTTAATATTAAGCTAAATTAAATCTATACTGATGAATTTTAGAGATATGTAACTTGCTAAAATTTTGTGTATTTCTTTTATGTATGTAAACCACTGCACAAGATGAAGAATCGTGAGTCTATATTACATAATCTTCATTGTTTAAGTTACATTTTATACCAATATTCAGAAGAGCCATCTTCCTGTGCTCCAAATTCTTATTTCTGACTTACTTCTTGGTATCTCCACTTCCGCATTCCACATGGTATCACTAAGGGTTCTCCAGAGAAACAGAACCAACTGGAGATTTTATATTTGCTTATAAAGAGATAGGTAGATAAATAGATAAATTGGCATTCAAGATAGTGGCTCACATGACTGTGGTATCTGGCAAGTACAAAATCTGCAGGGTAGGCCAGCAGACTGAAGACTCAGGAAAGCATTCATGTTGCAGCTTCAGTATGAAGGCATCCTGGAAGCAGAATTCCCTCTTCCTTGGGAAACTCCAGTCTCTTTCTCGTAAGGCCTTCAATTGATTAGATGAAGCCTGCCCGTGTTATATAAGGTAATCTGCTTTACTTAAAGTATACTAATTCAAATGTTAGTTTCATCTAAAACATGTCTTCACAGCAACATCTAGACTAGCATTTGACCAAATGTCTGGGTACCATATCCCAGCCAAGTTGAAATGTAAGATGAACCATCAAATACAGGTATTTCAAAATTAATATGTCTAAACTTTATCTATAATATTCTCCCTGAAACCTGCTCTTCTCCACTATTCACTTCCTCAGTAAATTACCACAGTCCTACCACTGAAGATGGAAACTTAGACCTTCCACAGGTCTAAGTTCCTTTACATTCAATTGTTCACTAAATTCTGTCTTTCCTAATTTCTTCATTGAGGTTTTTGGTGTTTTTTGTTTTTTGTTTTTCCAGAGGCAAGGTCTCACTCTGCCACCCAGGCTAGAGTTCTGGGGCACAATCATAGTTCACTATAACCTCCACCTCCTGGGCTCCCATGATCTTCCAGTCTCAGACTCCCTAATGGCTAGGACTACAGCGCTGTGCCACAGAGAGATGGAGTATTGCTATGTTACCTAGGCTGGTCTTGAACTCATGGCCTCCAGTGATCCTCCTGCCTCAGCCTCTCAAAGTACTGGAATTACAGGCATGAGACACCATGCCCAGTCTGAGGTTATCTTCTGCCATTCTTTTCTCCCTCAGTTTGTCACCACCATACATTCCTTCTTTCTGTTTTTCTAACCTCCCCCCTCCCCCCGCTCATTCCTGCCTCAGGCCCTTTACTGTTGGTATTCCCTGTGCCTTCAAGCCTTATCCTATTACAAAGGTGATGCTAACATGTCAGAATTTTTTAATCATTTGATTCATAGCTCAACTGTCACCTCTTTAGACAGGCCTTTACTGACTACTCCTTATTTTGTTAACAGCTTCATTGAGGTATAATTTACATATCATAAAATTCACTAATTTTAACTGTACAATTTAATGACTTTTAGTAAACTTACAGAGTTGTGCAATTATCATTATGAATCAGTTTAGAACACTTACATCTCCCCAAAAGAGAGATTTCCAATCTCTCCCTCATGCCCATTTACAGTCAATTTTACCTCCAACCCCAGGCAATCTCTAATCTACTTTCTGTCTCTACAAATTTGCATTTTCTGGAAATTTTGTGTAAATGAAATAAGTAATACATGGTCCTTTGCATCTGGACTCTTTCACTTAACATAATGTTTTTGAAGTTCGTCAGTGTTGTAGCAGGTATCAGTAATTTGTTACTCTTTATTGCTAAGCAGTATTTCATTGTATGGATATACCCCTTTTACCTATCCATTCACCTGTTGATGGACATTTGGATTGCATCCATCCATATTTTGGCTAATATGAATAATACTGCTATGAACATTTGTATACAAATTTTTGTGTGACGTGTTTTCATTTCTCTTGAATACCTGGGAATAGAATTGCAGAATCATATGATAAATTTATGATTATCTTAAAGGAACTGCTTTCCAAATAGGCTGTTCCGTTTTACATTTCCACAAGCACTAGATGAGGGTTCCAGCTTTTCCACATTCTCACCAACTTTGTTATTGTCTGTTCTGTGTTTTTTAAAAAATAGCTATGCAGGTGGGTACGAAGTGGTACTCATTGTGGTTGTCAACTGCATTGTCCTAATGACTAATGATGTTGAGATTTTTTTTTCATGTGCTTAATACTCATTCATATGTCTTCTTTGGTGAGCTGTCTATTAGAATATTTTGCTCAGTTTTAAATTAAGTTTTTTTCTTATTGAGTTATGAGCTCTATATATTCAGGATGCAAGTTCTTTATCAGATATATGATTTTTAAATGTTTTCCCTTAGTCTGTGGCATGTCTTTTCATTTTCATAATGGTGCTTTTAAAAGTGCAAATGATTTTAATTTTGATGAAGTCCAATTTATCCATTTTTGTTTTTTTGTGAATTGTGATTTTAGTATGTATCTTAGACCTTTTTGCCTAATTTAAAATCATGATGATTTTCTCCTATTCTTTCTTCTAAATGTTTCATAGTTTTAACTCTTATAGTTAGGTCTTCTATCCATTTTGAGTTAATGTTTTATGTGGTGTGAGTTAAGGGTCTAAATTTATCTTTGTTATTGTTGTTGTTGTTGTTGCATGTGAATATCCAATTATCCCAGCAGTATTTGTTAAAACAAAACAAAACAAAACAACTGTTTTTTTTTCCCCCCAACTGCCTTGGCAACTTGGTTGAAAATGAATGGAACACAAAGGTAAGAGTTTACTTCTAGACTGTCAGTTCTGTTCCATTTATCTACCTTTATGACAGGGCTATACTGTCTTGATTCCCTCAGCATATGATCTTCCATTTTAAAACCTGGAAGTATAAGTTCTTAGCTTTTGTTCTTCTTTTTTCAAGTTGCATCTACTCTTCTAGATCCTTCGTAATTTTAAGTAAATTTTAAGATATACTTGCCAGTTTTTGCAGGATTTCTATAAGAATTGCATTGAATCTATAGGGTAATTTAAGGAGAATTGCCACCTTAACAATATGGGTCATACTGAGTCTTTTAATCTGTGTTCATGTTCCATGAACATGGACTATCTCTTCATTTATTTAGATCTTTTATAATTTCTCTCAGCAATGTTTTATAGTTTTCAGCAAAGGGCTTTATACATATTTTGTTATGTTTGTTCTTAAGAATTATATTCTTTTGAATGCTATTGTGAATAGAATTGTTTTCTTAATTTCATTTTCAGGTTGTTCATTGATAGAATGTAGAAATACAGTTAATTTTTAGATATTGATCTTGTATCCTTCAACTTTGCTAAAACTCTTTTATTTGTTCAATGTATGTGTGTGTGTGCCTGTGTGAGTGTGTGTGTGTATGTGTGTATTTCCTGAAATTTTTAGCATATATGATCATGTCATCTGTGAATATAGATGATTTTGTTTCTTTCTCTCAAGTATGTATGCTTTCATTTCTTTTTCTCTCCTGATTGTACAAGCTAGAATATATAGTACAATAGGAAACAAAAGTGGCAAGAGCAGACATACTTGATTTGTTCTCAATCTTAGGGAGAAAGCATTCAGTTTCTTATTATTAAGTATGACATTAACTTCAGGTTTTTCATAGAA